GGAATGTTAACGGACTGAACTCTACACAGAAGAGAAAGAAAGTATTTCATTATCTCAAACAGTTTAAGAATGATATAATTTGTTTGCAAGAAACTCATATCAAATCAACTGATCAAAAATATTTGTTTAACCCCAAACTTGGTCAACATTTTGTGACCTCTGCTACGGAAAAGAAAAATGGCATAGTTGTATACTTAAGAAAAGACATTAAAGCCGAGCTAATTGAAGCAGATCCCTTCGGAAGATATATCGCACTAGACTTAATCTTAGAAGGGAAAAAGATATTACTTTTGGGAATTTATGCTCCTAATCAACAGCAAGATGGATTTTATAGAAATCTTCATGCTAAATTAGTACAGTGGGACTTTAAGTCTTGTATACTATTGGGTGACCGGAATGGCGTCATTGACACTAAAAGAGATAAGAAGACATCTCGCCCGAACACCAAAATCTGAGCTAAGTTACCCAAATATTTTTTTGATATGATGGACGACTTCGAATTGCGAGATGTTTGGCGCGAAAGGAATGCAGAGGAATATGATTACACCTTTTTTTCTGATAGACATCAATCTCTTTCAAGGATTGATTTTATCCTAATTACTAATGATTTACTTTCTAGGGTGAAGAAGTAAGATATCCCACATGGCTACCATAAACATCCCTCCTGAGGTGTTGGGACCTTCAGTTTTCCGGTAACAGGAAACCAGTTGTAAAAGTTGTAAAATCAGTTGTTACAGGTACAGCTAGTGATTTAACTATGAGGCCCCCCTCCTCCCAATTGAATGGCAGTATCACTTTTAGGGATCTGACAACTTTGTGTAAGGTCTTGCCTCTCCAATCTACCCAAGAAAGCAGGACTCTTGAAACTGAAGTTGTTACAAAAGGAGCTTTTATTGAAAGGCTTGTTATAGCAAGAGGTACAGGTAGGAACCAAATTTTCCCACTTAAAAACAGAAATTTAAAGCAGTGTAAACAAAACCTCTTCCACAGTATAGCAATGCAGGAAACAGAAACTCACAGCCCAGCAATGCAGGAATCAGAAACTTCAAATAGAGATGTCTCCAAGCAGGAAATAGAAACAGAAATTTCATATAGAGATCCCTTCAATCCTTCCCCCTCTCACCAGAATACCAGCATCCCAATAGCAATATATGAGACTTGATATGCCACTCCCTA